CCTTAGCTCAACACTTAAAAATATTTTGTTGTTTCTTCAAACTTGTCACTTCACTCTCACTTACTGTCTTCTATCAAGACTTCTGTCTTCTATCCTTCCCAAGTTTTGGCAACCTGGTTATCTCAACAAGTACGTATGTCGGGTATGTTTTTCAATATTACCTCGGCATAATTTCAACTTGTAAATTTTCCTATAAAATTTCGACAAGTCCCAAGCACTTTAAGCTTTTACTCATCATTCTCTAGCTCTCTACCCCCTTAAGTGAACCTAAGTTTCACTTATGTTCACATTAAACACTTGTGGCCTTTCACCTAAGTCATTGTCGAACAAAGGTTATCCGAGGTGTCAAACCTGGGTTTCTCTGTGTAATAACCCCGATCCCAGATTAACGTTAATTCGTGCTTAGTTAAGCCTAACAATAATCTAGGAAGGATTTGGAACTAATTTGCATGAGTATTGCATGATTTTTGTGTTTATATCTGTTAGGCGTAGAAATATCTGTTCATGTTTTATATTTTGAACTGCAAATTGAAAGCCTTATCGACGCCCGATTTCGAAATTGATTAGTGCTATGTGATAATTAGAATTTATATGACTTTATGGTAGATTTAATTTAAATTTGATTTGGTATGATTAAATAAAGCTAAATTACATTAGTTAGACTTATCTACCATTATGCCACTTAGTGGCTTGATTTGGAGACCAACCTTATTACACTTTGAAACATATTTCCTCAGCCATTTTTCCTTGTCAAAATCGACTAGAGAGAGACCTAGGAGAAAATAGGATTCATCTAGAGATTTGGCTTGGAGCTTAGGAGAATTGAAGAGGCTTTGCAAATTTGAGCTTCTAGGCTTTGAATTCAAGACTTAAGGTGGGAGATTTCTCTTTCAATTGTAAATTTAAGATTAATTCTTGCATGGTTCTTGGGAGATTAGAGTTTAAAGTCAAGAATTGACTGTAAATGTTGAATTGAGGCTTAATTCATGCATGCATGCACATATTCTTAGATTTTGGAGTTGTTCTTCATGAATTTCCACATGCATGTTCACATTTTGGTTTTAGTCCATGAATTCATCTTATTCTTGAGCTTAATCTTGTTTTGGATCATGTTTTGGAGCATTAAAAGTCATGAGAATTCATGCATGTTACATTTAAGTTATGTTCTTGATATTTTATTTGAAATTGTGTTTAATTGACTCACTCTTGGGCTTTGATTTTACAAATTGATCTTTGAAACATTTTATACTTTGAGTTTACTAGTGTTTTCTAGAAAATGGGCCTAAGAGGTCGAGTTTTAAGGTGTTGAATGCTTGGTTTCATGCTTGGAGGTCAATCTGGATTTTTCAAAAATTTGACCCACGCTCGAGCAGGGACTTTCACGCTCGAGCGTGAAGCCTGAGTACATGCACTTCCGCTCTAGCGGTGAGAGTTACGCTTGAGCGTGAAATGCGTATACCCAGAAGTTTGTGTGTTTTGCAGTCCGCTCGAGCGGGGGAAACTACGCTCGAGCGAGGGTCTGTGTCACACGCTCGAGTGGGGGTCGAGCGCCCGTCGAGCGTGAATTTCATGCATCCAGCACTTTTTCATAAGTTTGCAGTTCGCGCGAGCGGGGAAGTCCACACTCGAGCGGGGCTTCTTTTTCTGCATGTCCGCTTGAGCGAGGAAAGCCACGCTCGAGCGTAGACCTTATCTTCAGCAAAATTTGAGAAATGTTTTCCAGGGCATCTTTGCATCCTCATTCTATCCTAGGCATTTCTAGGCCATGTTTAAGACTCTATAGTGAGGATTTAAGGTTAGAAACACACTAAGAACCAACGACATAAGTTTTATACAATTAGAACGTGTGTTTCAAGTTTGTATCTGTTATGTGTTATGTAGGTCACGTGCCGCATCCTGTCTGACTAACCTGCTCCGTCTGTTTGTTTCAAGGCCAATTGTGAGTAATAATTTAGTAAAATTATGTTCAAACTATATCTACTTTCTATGTGATAAAACAAGATCTGTTTTCTGAAATGATATGTTCTGTACAATGAATGATTGTTCAATTTTTGATATGTATTCGTAACATCCTTAGCATCATGTGATATCTGTTAGTTGTTACCCGGTATCGAAGGTTCCTTTATGGAACTTATTTCTGTCTGCACTCTGTTACCCGTACCGGAGACCCTGTCACGGGGGCTCAGCTTCTGTTCTGTTCTGTTACCCGGATCCGGAGGTTCCTTTATGGAACTGGTTATTCATAACCCCACATGTATACGTTATGTTCTGTTCTGTTCTGCTAATGCTAATGGATGTATCACGTAAACTTAATCATGACTTATGATTTCTGTTTGTATATGATCTGAACAAACTATGATTTTGATATGAACTGAATTATGATTTCTGAATCTGTACGAACTCATTCATTGAAACCCTTTACTCTATTATTATTCACCGGGCTTTCGCTCACAGTTTATATTTTGTATGTAGGTGAGCCGGCATATGACCAAGGCCAGAGTTGACGGCCTTCTGCTCTGTTTTTGTCAGCCAATTGTTGTGTCTCCCGAGGAGGTTCCGATCAAGTCTAAAGCCATGGCTGTTTTTGTACTCATGCTAGTCTCTGTATGTGTTTTGTAAGGACAGGTTTTGGGATGTAATACTTTGTAAATATTGGTGTCCTTTGACTGGCATGCTTATGTATATATATAAGTTTTGAAATGTTCTGTCCTATGTACGTTATCACAGCTCATTGGACCTTGTCTATTTTGTATTATTGCTTCCGCAGCCCTTTATTATTTGTTAATCTATTTAGAGGCCTTTGGTAATCCACGGATTACTGGCCGGTCACGGTGCTAAACCCATAGGGGCGGGTTTGGGTCGTGACACTCTGTTAATGTACTTAGTTCCATTTTGAGTTTGACTCTGCCGACATGGCAAGTCTAATTTCAATTCAACTTAGTTCAACTCTACTATATACAAGTATAATTCAATTCTGCCATATAATAATTCAACTTTATTATATGCAAGAATAATTCAACTTTGCTATATTATATGCAAGAATAATTCAACTTTGCTATATAATAAGTTTAAGTTATTCGTCATGTTTCAATCAGAAACATTGCTAACTTTGTTCAACTCTATTATATGTAAGTATAATTCAACTCTGTCATATAATAAGTCTAAGTTATTTGCCATGTTTTAATCAGAAACATCGCCATAGGACTAGTCAGTCCAATTACACAAATTTCAAATTCTTAAAAAATCAAGCTAAAATTTTATTACTACCTCGGCTAAGAAAATTATGACATAAATTTCGAAAAACAAAAAAGTCTAATGATAGAAAAACTTTAAGTTGTAAGTGTTCCAAGGTCTTGGCAACTCTTTGCCTTTATTGTCCTCAAGTCGATATGCCCCATTGCCGGCGACCGAGATAATTTTATAAGGTCCCTCCCAATTTGGGCCCAGCTTTCCCTCCCTAGGATCCTTCTCGTTGCCAACCACTTTCTTTAGCACCAGGTCCCCAACTTTGAACTCTCTTGGGTTGACCTTTTTATTATAAGCCCTAGCAAGTTTTTGCTGGTATGCCCCAGTCGAATTGCTGTTCTCTCCCTTGTCTCCTCAAGTAGGTCTAAATCTCAGGCCATGAATGCCTCGTTAGTCCCATTCTCTATTTCTTGGGTTCTGATTCCTGGGATGCTGACTTCTAGTGGGAAAACTATTTCTGTGCCATAAGCCATGGCAAATGGGGATTCCCCAGTTGATCTTCTCAGCGTAGTCCGATATGCCCAAAGTATATTGGGCAACTTTTCCACCCATTTTCCCTTTGCTGCTTCCAGCCTCTTCTTGATCTCATCCAAGATAGTCTTGTTAGATGCTTCTGCTTGACCATTACTCTGAGGGAAACTTGGAGTGGAGTAATAATTCTTGATTTTGTACTTTGTACAGAAGCTTTTGATTAGCTTACTGTCAAATTATGTACCATTGTTTGCTATTATTGCCTTTAGAATCCCAAACCTGGTGATAATGTTCTTCCATATGAAGTTCTTCACAACAGTGTCTCGAATCTTCGCAAGGGGTTCGGCTTCTACCCACTTTGTGAAATAGTCAGTTGCTACCAACAGGAACTTCCTTTTGTCCAGTTGCTTGGGGTAGTTGTCCAACAAGATCCATGCTCCACTGGGCAAATGGCCAAGGGCTGGACACTAGGTTCAAATCTGCTGCTGGTTAATGTATCAAAGGCACGAACCTTTGACACTTTTCACACTTTCTGAAATAGGCTTCAGTATCCTTCTACATGTAAGGCCACCAATATCCCTGAGTAATGGCTCTATGAGCAAGTGATATGTCCCCAACATGGCTTCTACACACTCCTTCATGTATGTCATACAAGAAGTATTCAACTTGTGAGGGATACACACATCTCAAAAGGGGACCAGTAAAAGACCTTCGTATAGATGTCCTTCTGCTGTCAGACTAAACCTAGCCGACTTCAGTCTGGTCTTGTGTGATTCTTTACGATCATTTGGCAACTTCCCATCTCTAAGGAACATTACTATTGCATCCATCCAACTTGGGCCCATCTCCACACACATTACTTTCTACTCTGTGATCAGTGGTTCCACACTTGGACCTAACAAATAATCAACCAATATTGTCCTTGCCTCCCCTGATTTCATTGCACTAGCCAGGTTAGCCAAGGCATTGGCATGGCTGTTGTCATCTCGGCTAACTTGCTGTAGTCGACAGTGTTGAAACAAAACTAACAGTCTAATAACCTCTTTGACATAGGCTATCGTTCTTTCATCTCGGGCTGCATACTTGCCTGTTGCCTGGTTCACAATGAGCTAGGAGTCACAGAAGACTACCACCTCGTCGGCTTCCATTGCTACTGCCAATTTCAATCCTGCGATCAATGTTTCATATTCTGTTTCATTGTTTGAGGCTTTGAACCCCAAACGAATAAACTGCTATATCATTCGTCCATCTGGAGATACCAACACCACTCATGCCCCTGCTCCCTAACGGTTTGAACTCTCATCAACAAACAGGCAGAAGGAGCCGCCGACGTAGATATCGCAGGGTTTGAGTTTTTCTTCTTTTTTCTGATTTGCTGTGGGATTTTTCATTCCCAGTTGAGTCTCTTCTTGTTCCCCTGGACATCCTAAGCCACGGCTCACCGGAGCCCGACTTGGGATGACACCTGGTGTGAACTCGGCCACGAAGTTGGTCAGAACCTTGCCTTTGATTGTTGTTTTGGGTTTAAACTCTAAATTGTATTGGCCCAATACCATTGCCCATTTGGCCACCTTGCCTGTTAGATCACCTTGTTGTAGCAGGAACTTCAAGGGGTGCTCAGTCAATGCCACAATCCTGTGGGATTAGAAATAATGGTTCAATTTCTTGGAGGCCATCATTAAAGCCAATGTCAATTTCTCCAAGGATAAATACCTGGTCTCTGCAGCTGCTAGGGTTTTGCTCACATAGTATACTACCCTTTGTTCTCACTTCTCTTCTTTAATTATCACTGCACTCACTGCATGCTTTAAAACAGCCAAGTACAAGAATAGCTCTTCTCTAGGTACGGGATTTGAGATAACTGGAGCTGTGGTCAGGTATCTTTTCAAGTCGGCCAAGGCGGCTTCGCATTCCTCTATCCATAAGAAATCTGAGGCCTTTTCAACAGACTAAAAAATGGTTTACACTTATCTGAACTTCTACTTATAAATCTGTTCAGAGTTGCGGCCCTTCCAGTCAATATCTGCACTTGTTTTGCTGACGTTGGGCTTTTCAAATCCAGAATGGCCTTGATTTGATCTGGGCTTACCTCAATGCCCCTTCTAGTAACCAAGTAACCTAAGAACTTACCAAACCCAACTCTAAATGCACATTTTGAAGCATTGAACTGGAGCCGATATGATCTACGGATGTCGAAAACGGCCTTCAAGTCAGCCAGATGATCCTCAGGTTCTTTGGTTTTCACGACTATGTCTTCAATGTATACTTCCACTATTGTGCCAATCTGATGTCTGAACATCTTGGTCATTAACCTCTGGTACGTTGCTCTTGCATTTTTCAACCCAAAATGTATCACTCTATAGCAATACAACCCTTTTGGGGTAATAAATGCAATATTCTCCTCATCATGGGGTACATTGCTCTCTGATGGTACCCCCTATAAGTGTTTAGGAAGCTCATCCTTCCATGTCCTGAAGTGGCATCCACTAATTGATCAATCTTGGGGAGTGGGAAAATGTCCTTGCGACAAGCCTTATTTAAGCTAGTAAAGTCCATGCAAACCCTACACTTATCATTCTTCTTTTTCACAACCACAGTGTTGGACAGCCAAGTATGGTAATTTACTTCACGAATGGCTCTGGCCTCTAACAATTTGTTCACTTCTTCTTCGACTGCCACCATATGGACCAAAGTCGGCCTCGCTCACTCGCTGAATGACGGGTTTAGCCAACCTGTCTACGTTCAGTATGTGACATGTAACCTCGGGATTAATGCCAGGCATCTCGTATGGCGTCCAGGCAAGCACCTCTATGTTTGCTTGTATGAATGCTTCTAACTCCCTTTCCTCTTTCTCGGCCAAGCCTGAGCCGAGGAGGAAGAAGCGCTCTTCATCCCCTTGCTGGACCAGAATTTTCTTCAAGGCTTTCTCGCTTTTGTCGGTCGGCTCTTTACTGACGTCATCCAGGACCTCCATGTCCTCGTCCTCAATCTCTATTGTTTCTGCTTCTTGTATGTTGTAGGTGGATTTCATTACTGCCATGGAGCAGTTCTTTGCCTGCACCTGATCCCTTCTGACCTCTTCAACTCCATGCTCTGTTGGGAACCGCAACAGCTAGTGCAGTGTTGTGGGAACAACCCTCATTACGTGCAACCATGGCCTCCCCAAGATAACATTGTAAAGGGAGGGGGGGTCAACTACTGTGAACTCTGTACTTACCTTCTTGGTGCCTGCCTGCACCTCCAAACTTATTGCTCCTAAGGGTCATGTCAGCGTTCCATTGATGTCGACCATTGGACTGTTGGACTGCTCCAGATCATCTCGGTGAAGGCCGGGCTCCTTGTAACATCTGACATATATAATGTCACAAGAGCTGTCTTGGTCAATCAGAATGCGCCTTACTTGGCATTCCCCAATCTTGAGGGATATCACCAGAGCATTGTTGTGTGGATGCTACACCATGTCTAGGTCGGCTTCAGTAAAGGACACCATTGGTCCTTGGTACTTATCTGTTCTAGGCCACTTTTGCTGGACCTGATACATATATTGTAAATGTTTCACCCTCTGAGTCTCCCCACGTACCTCGTTCTCATTGACCTTCGAGTGAATCATATTGATCACTTGAGGTCTGTCTGCTTGTGGTTGTGGTGCTGGTAGAGGTGGTGCTACTAGTGCCGGGGGCAGCCTTACTTGTTATTCCCTTGTCCTGGCCTCATCTACTAGGTCCCTTAAGTGACCTTGTCTTACCAGATCTTCCAGATGTGTCTTTACGGTTCTGTACCCCTGAGTCAGATACCCATCCTCATTATGGTAGGCATAGTGCTTCTCAAGGCTTTTTCCCATAAATTTGCTAGGGATACTGTAGTAAGGCTGATTCCTGATCCTTTCCAAGACTTTGTAAACCGGGATCCGGAACACTGTGGTGACTGTCTGTGCTGCCCTTAGTCCTGTTTCTTGTCTGTTATATCCAGTATTTCCCCGACCTTGCTTCGATGAGCCGTTTCTCTTCTCCTGTTTCAATGCCTTTGTCCCTAGTGTGTCTTTTTCAGCTCTCGCATATTTCTCGATCTTGGCCATGAGTTCCTCCATACTTTTTGGTATTGTCTTTGCTAGTGACTTTCGAAGCAGGCAGTCATCGTTCAGGCCGTTCTTAAAAGATACGACCACCAACTCTTGGTTGTATCCTAGTATTCGGTTAAAAACCTCATAATACCTTTTGGCATAATCCCTGAGGCTTTCATCCTCGCCAATTCTCAGAGCCATTAGAGAAGTCTACCCTCAATGGTTGCAGTTTGTTTGTAACAAACCTGGCCACAAATATCTCGGCCAGGCCTTCCCAACTTTTCACAATTCCTTGCGGCAACTTGTGAAACCAATCTAATGCGATTTCTCCAAAGGATGAGGGGGACACCTTGCAGAGCAACGGTTCGTTCCCGGTATATAGTGCCATTGAGTTCAAATATAAACTGACGTGAAAGTTAGGATCAGACTTACCGTCGTATATCTAGAATCTTGGCATGTGGAACCTTTTCGGGGCCTCAAACTTATCCAGCTCTACCAAAAATGGTGTTCTCGGCTTGACCAGAGATGTGTCCTCAGCATCTTGTCACTTCCTCTAGAGGTAGCCCCTCAAGTCCTCCTTAGTCCATCCAGGAGCTCGGCTGTCAACGGATTTCAGCCTTTTTGGTGCGCTACTCTCAGTGTTTTATGAGTCCTCTTAGACCTCCCTCCATTCATCGTGTCAAAACAAAGCTCCTTTTCTTGAACATGCTGATGTTCCTTGGCATAAGTTTCCTTGGAACGAGATGTCTTCTGAGACTTTCCTCTTATCGATTCTCCTCACCTGACGTCCCGTGAAGGCCAATAAGAATGCTCCTTTGCCCTATCATACTGAGGGACTGTAAGGATTGCTTTCTGTCCCCCTTTCTGAGCATCGTTCTCGGCCGCTGGAATCGACATGTCCTCCAATGGGAATGGTGGCTACATGACGTTGTTCTGCATCATGAAATTGACAACCGATTGCAGGTCTGCCAATTTGTTTACCATCCCCTTCATCTCGATGTCCCTCCTCGAGCATCTATCTTTCCATACCTAGAGGTCGCTTTCGTTGTAATACTCGCCTCAGCCTGCCTTTTTTGGAACGTCTCCCTTTTGGCCGATGTCATTTTCCGTGCGATTCTGCTTCCGGGGTTTTTCATTACAGTTCTCTTCCCCTACATTAGGATTGGCGTATTTGCCACTCCCACTAGGGATGTCGTCTCCAATCTTCTCTTTCTGTCCGTCGTTAGCCATCTATTCTCCTTACGTTCCCACAGACGGCGCCAAATTGTGGGTGCTGATTTCCGACCACACTGCCAAATAGGAACTCAGCAGAAGAGGGAAAGCACAGGCAGAATAGATCACGCCTGAACAACCTGTCACAAAAAAATAAGACTCCGACAGTGGTTCGTCCATCCGGGGGCACTCCGACGATCAAGTTAATACTCAGTTGTCTCTCAAAGATAGCAAATAGTGCTTAACTCACAAGGCAGAATACAAAAAGCGTACCTTAGATCCACGAGGATACCTTACTTTTATAGCCAGTACTAACCTGATCCCTGTAGAATCCTATCTTCAATGGACTCTGGCTCAATGCTCATCTTGGATTCCCAGCCAGATAGTGATAAACTTTTTAAGAGTTTTATCTTTATCCAGGGATCCTCTCCCATTCTAGGACTCTTGTCCCTTATCCGTTCATCTCGAGTTCCGATATCTCCGCAGATAACCTTGGCCTAGCCGAGATCACCTCGGCATTATGACCAAGCCACGTGGTACTCTGACTGACATGTCGGCGTCACCTCGGCCACTTGCTGTCATTTACAAAAATATATCTCCACAATATTGATATGAAATTATAATAACAGGATTTCATCATTATTTTTAAACTTACATTTACCGCCCAATATGATGAAATCATACAAGTATACTTATCAGATGAATTTGATGTTTTTCATACATGTTCGCTTTACAGTGAATTACAAAATCATGTGATTATAATTATTACAGGAAGCTTCACCGTCTTATGTTTAACGGGTAAGAAATGTTGGTAAAAAAATGAATATGTTGCCATTATAATGAGATTAGTTATAAAACACCTTTTTTACAAAAGTCTAAACAAAAAAAAATGCAATAATGAAAAGAAAATATGAACTTTGTAAAAAAAAAAGATATGGATTAAGATTGAAGAATTTGATTTTGCAGGGAAGGACAAAGGACAATTAAATATTTATATAAACTGCTTCTTTCACAATGTTTATATGAAAGTAACATTTTAAGGTAAAACTCTCCATTTGTCAAAACACAATAATTTGATGTTTTTCATACATGTTCGCTTTACGGTGAATTACAAAATCATGTGATTATAATTATTACAGGAAGCTTCACCGTCTTATGTTTAACAGGTAAGAAATGTTGGTAAAAAAATGAATATGTTACCATTATAATGAGATTAGTTATAAAACACCTTTTTTACAAAAGTCTAAACAAAAAAAAAATGCAATAATGAAAAGAAAATATGAACTTTGTAAAAAAAAAAGATATGGATTAAGATTGAAGAATTTGATTTTGCAGGGAAGGACAAAGGACAATTAAATATTTATATAAACTGCTTCTTTCACAATGTTTATATGAAAGTAACATTTTAAGGTAAAACTCTCCATTTGTCAAAACACAATATTTGAAAAAGTCAAAATATCAGAATTGACATACAAAAAGACAAAAAAGAAAAAAGAGAAGATATATGTGGAGTAGGATTGAAGAGTGTGACATTTCATAAAAGGACAAAGTAAGAATAAGACAACAAACCCAGGAATGAGTGGCAACTTGGTAAGGGCCTGAGGTTTATGCCCCTAGGTCCTGGGTTCAACTCTCTTCTGGGCCAATCTCCTATATAGCCTCCGTTTGGGAAGTGGGTTGGCTTTTTGACTTTTTTTGCTATTTTAGCCTGGGCTAAAAAGTTTGGTTTGGGGCTTTTTGACTTTTTTGGCTATTTTAGCCTGGGCTAAAAAGTTTGGTTTGGGAAGGGCTTTTTGGAAAGTTTGGTTTGGGGCTTTTTGACTTTTTTGGCTATTTTAGCCTGGGCTAAAAAGTTTGGTTTGGGAAGGGCTTTTTGGCTTTTTTGATTTTTTTTGTGAGAGAAGAGTGTAATGATAAAAAAAAAAAAAAAAAAATAAGACAACTAATATATAATTATTTTTTTAATCAGAGATATCATAATGTAACAAAAAAAAAAATAAAATAAGACAACTAATATATAATTATTTTTTTAATCAGAGATATCATAATTTATACGATAACATATAAACAGAAAATTTATGCGTAATAATGTGATAAATTTGTATTTATTTATTTAAATTTCAAATCAAAGGAGGCATGAAGTGGGTTATTATTTTAAAAATATTATTGTCAAATTATTTTTATAATATTGTTGTATAAAAAATCAGTTTGCAAATCCTTTTCCTAATTCATAAGTTGTTTCTTTCAAATATTAACAGTGCAACTATTTTGCTTTATCAAAAAAACAATCAAAATCCATGATTCACGCAAGAATAGGACAGCTATAAGATAATAATTCATGTAGTGAAAAAAATTATATAACAAAATTTGTATAGAATAATGTGACAGTTTGTATATTCATTTCAAATTAAAAAATTTAATTGGCTTATTATTTTAAAATTTTCACTGTCAAATTATTCAAATAAAAACCAATTTCCTAATTCATAAGTTGTTTCTTTCAAATGTTAATAGTTTAACTATTTTACTTTATTAGAAAGAAAAAAAAAAATCATAATCCATTGTTCATACAAGAATAAGACAAGTGAGATCATAATTCATCTAGCAGTGATATAGAAATACAAAAATTATATAAAAAAAATTTATATTAACTACTGTGGCAGCTTTATGTTCATTTCAAATTAAAAGACTTATGAAATGGTCTATTTATTTTAAAATATTATTGTCAATTTTTTAATAAAAATTTTGTTTCCAAATCGTGTTCCCAATTCATAAGTTGTTTCTCTCAAATGTTAACAGGGTAACTATTTTACTTTATTCGATAAAATATCTTAATCCATAATCCATGCAATTATAAGAAAGTCGATATCATAATTCACCTAGTGATAAACACAAAAAAATTATATAGGATATTAATGACATTTTGTATATTCATTTCAAATTTAAAAAACTTATCAAATGAGTTATTATTTTAAAAATGTCATTGTCAAATCATTTTGATAATTTTTTTGTTTTCTATAAAACTTCTACTAAAAAATTGGTTTTCTGATTCATAAGTTCATATCCAATTCAATATTGGCCCCGTTTAGTAGAGCTGTGGGAAAGTGATTATAACTTATAACTGTGAACATAAGATGATTTTTTATTTATAAATTAAGTTTCTCCTCTCCCACTTAAAGAATAAGTTGATTTTTGACTTACAAAAAGTTATAACCTATATTGTTAAGCTGAACCAAACACATCAAAATAGCTTAAATTAAGCTAAAAGCTGAAATACGCTGAAAATAAGCCCTACCAAACAGGGCCATTAAATGTTTCATCAAATTTGAATTTGATAAAAAAATGCCTCATTTGCGAGCTCTAACCCTTTCACCATATTTATATCAAATTGAGGGAAAACTACGGTTGTATTTTGAGTTTGTGAGTTTTGAAATTATGATTTGAGTATGAAAAATTTGTTTGGATATGAGTTTTGAAAAAAGTTTTGAATTGAGTTTAAATTTAGTGATGTGACATGATATTTGATTCAAGAATTTACAACTTATAACCAAACACACAATCCAAAATGCTATTCAAAGCTCATAAAAAAATTTTAAAAAATTTCCAATATATTTTTTATTCAAAATATATATATATAAATACTGTTCTGATCAACCGGTCGGTCAATTGGTTAGATGGATGGTCGGACGTGCGAGGAAATGACCGGATAGACGAGTTTTCAAATGCGGGTGTGGAATGATTTTTTAAAACTGAAACCAAATGTAGCACTCAAACCAAAGGGTAAAAACGTGATTTGAAAACCCCACTAAACACAACCT